GACCCTGAGGGTGTGTGTTGGGAGAGGCAGCCTGTTTTCAAACTATGTATTTTCAAAACCCTGCTGGTGTTCAGAACCAGAAGAGAGTTAAAGCAGGTGGATCCCAATATTTGTTGCTCATGGAAATACTAAAATAAATATAATTCAGTTGCAACAACCACAGAGACTGACCAAAGTCTTCAATTGGACATATGAAGGTATTTAAGTGTACCAATGTTTGGTGGTTGTGGAGGTGGTGGCTCATAGGGTCAGTTTCAACTCACAGCGACCCTGTGCAGGGTTTCTGAGGCTGTAAATCTTTATGGGAGCAGAACGCCTCATCTTTCTCCTGCAGAACACTGGTAGTTTCAAACTGCTGACTTTGAGGTTAGCAGCCCAACTCATAACCGCTACGCTACCAGAGCTCCTTATACCAATGTTTAGGGCTGAGAAATATCGGGGTATTTATGGGGTATATATGACCATTCAGTAATACTAAGACCTAGGACTCTGCTCGTGACAAATGTAGATTAACCCAAAATAAGCTTTAGGTGCAGCAGAAAGTGAGGAGAACAGCATCTGAGGAATAAAGACTATCTTTAGCCCTACTAGTTTGGCTAGAGACTAAGTTTCATGGTGGTGGTGGTGGTGATGTGCTGTGGAGTTGGTTCCGACTCATAGCGACTCTGTGCAGGGTTTCCGAGGCTGTAAATCTTTACAGGAGTAGAAAGCCCCATCTTTCTCCCATGGAACACCTGGTAGTTTCGAACTGCTGACCTTAAAGTTTGCAGCCTGCATACCTACTTTTAAATACCAGGAAACTATAGCCAAGTAAGCTAACTTCTTTAGTCAGTAGCCAATTACTGGCAACTGGCTAAACCGAGTCATTGTAACTCCAAAACCTAAGCTCGTCTTCTACAACTCATAGCACAGAAGCCACTAAGATGGGGAATAACCAAAGAAGTGAAGAACACATCACAGCTAGGCTGCAGAATGCACGAGCACTCTAAGGGGGTCAGAGGAGGGCAAAAGCACACGGAGTAGAAGGTTGGAGAGTCATGTCAGGTTTCCAAGAGGAGGTGACATTTGAGCAAGTCTTTGAAGAATGCTCAGGCAGACAGAGTAAAGAGAGGCAGGAGCAAAGAGAAAGGCCTAAACACTGAAGAGCAGAGAAATAGAAAGTAAGCTACAGTCTTGCATCAATTAACATCCATGATGTGTTCTCTAAAACCGGATGTTATGTGATTTGGACCTTGTGTAAACACCACTATCGTAGTCCGGTTCTGCTTTTTTTTTAAGCATTTCCAAACGAACAAATTTCGGACCTAAGAAGTGATGATGACTTGCTGAGAGGGATTCACTTTTGTGTTTGGTCCCCACCTACATTATTAGCAATTTCTCCATGTCTGATACAGATTCCCTAGCATTTTTGGTAGCCTTTTTGTTTTCAAAAGAGTCAATTCCTTAACAGCTTGGATAATTTTTTCTTTGTTTTCTTAAGATCATTGTAATTATCAAATGTGACATGCCTAAATCGTAAGCAATTGTATTCACTGATTTTCCACTTTTGTGTTGTTGAATAATCTTTGCCACTTGCTGCTGCTATCTAACACTAGTTTTGCTGCATATGGGAGCCATGATGCACTTCATGGTAATATTTTCTGAAGAAAATTAAACAGAGAAATAATGCTACAACACTCAAGCCTGGATGCTGCTGCTTATAAGTTGAATCATATACTTACATGATAAGCTTTTTAGAAAGGAAATATAGCAAAGTGCATACATAAGTCAGGGAAATTATGACTAATAAGACATATCTCTAATAGGTTATATATGTATGGTACCTAGCAGCCCAATCTCTTTGTGTACAAGTGACATCAAATCCACATGTTGCATGAAGGAAGCTGTTGCATTTACTATGTCCCAATTTCCAGTAGAGATTTCTGACTCTATTGTAACCTATGGAACCAGGGATGTATGTCTATGTGCTCAAACATTGCCTGAATAGACTTTACGTGAAGCATGACTGTATTTGAACTTGGAATTCACAACACAAAGTTTCATAATGAAATAAATCTGTAATTCACTTCCGTCCAGTTGATTCAGACTCATGAGACCCCATAGATTAGAGAGTAGAACTGAGCTCCATAGGGTTTTCATGGCTGTAATCTTTGTGGAAGCAGATCACAAGACTTTCTTCAACAGAGCCGTTGGGTGAGTTGGAACTACCAACCTTTAGGCCAGTGAAAACTGGTTGTGTGTGCCCTCCAAGAAACATAATGAATTTTCCTCACATCTGTAAAGCAGACTAGAGTCCATCACATGAAGTAGGATGACCTTAGTCTGCAAGGAAGGTCATCACACTCCAGACCCAGGACAGATTCACCTGACCAGAAAGCCTGTAGAGAGATAGCATGACGCCCAGACACTCACACTTTCTTCTTCTTACCTTTTCTGTACTGCGGGGGAGGAAGTGCTTTGTTTCCTAGTCAAGGATCTCCACTAGCAGCTTCTTGGTGTGCGCCTTAAGTCACTTCCGACTCACAGTGACCCTGTATAGGGTTTCTGAGAGCAGGTGGTGGTTTTGAACTGCTGACTTTGTAGTTACCAGTCCAGTGCTTATTCTACAATGCCACAACAGGGTCCCCACCGTCAGCTAGGCAGATAAAATGGAGAAGGGAGAAGCAGGACCCCAAGTCCTTTCAGGGAACTGAAAAGGGGGAGAAAGGCTTGAGTCACCTCTGGTTCTGGGTCTGCTGTGCCTCGGGGCACATGAAAAGCTGGGGCCTGTTTCCACAGCTGTGGGCAATCTCAGCTCTTGGGGGTGAAGGATACTGCTGTCACCAGGAGGGTTCTCTGGGCAGGCCCCTTCCCATCTGCTCATGAGGACTAAACTCCTGTGTACTTTTCCAGTACATTTGATTTTAGTCTATCCTTGGCATCCACTAAGTGAGGGGAAGATTCAGTCCCATTTTACAATGGAAGCAATTGAGGCTCAGAGAGCCTAGACATTTGTCCTGGTAAAGCTGAAGCTTAAACTCATTAGACCCTGGAAGGGAAGGGGTTGTGTGTGCTTGTTTAAGTTCGTTAAAGTCCCCTGGCGCACCCCTTTTTCCACATCCTGGGACACGGCCCCAGACTTCCTTTGGATTGTAGTGACTAAGGTGGCGCAGCTTTCTTCCTTGGTCGCGGTGGGAGCCCCAGGGCCAAGGCAGGGAAGGCAGAATTATCCCGAGACGAACGCCAGAGAACTTCAGAGCGTTTCGCCCTTCCCCAGGAGAGGCAAACACGAACACGTCTGTGTCTTCTACCAACAAGTGCTTTCAAGCCCGGCGGGGGCAGACACCTCCGCGCCGGCCGCCGGCGAGGTCTTCGCTGTCTGCGGGGGCAATGGCCTCGCATCAGCTGCACTGATTTAAAGCTTATTGGGCCGCCTGAGCAGGAGGCGTCTTCCCCGGCGGCCCGGCAGTGCAGGGAGCCCGGAGCCACTCTGCAGCCCGGGAGGAGGAGAGGGGGAGGGGAGGGACGGAGGGAGGGAGACACTGGGAAGGAGGGGGCGCCCCCTCGGGGCGCAAGGGGCGGGCGTGCGGGCACACGCGGTGCGCGGCGAACGGGGGCGGCCACCGCGCGGCGCGGCCCGGGGGCCTAGGGAGCCGCCCACTTCGCCGCGTCGGGCCCCGACGGCCTGAGCTTGGATGCGGCGGCCGAGGCGGGGCGACCCGGGCCGGGGGAACACGCCGACAGCCCCGGCGGAGCAGCGGCCGCAGGATGGCTGAGGTAAGCGCGACGCCTCTCCCCAGGTGCGGGACCCCTCTGGCAGCCGCCGTCGGGACTTGGGGTGGCCACCAGCGTGGCGGCGTGACCCCGAGGCTCGGGTGTGAGGAAGCGGCTTCTTCCGCTGCGAGGGACGGTGGGGGCGCTTGGCGCCGTAGACCCGTCGTCGCCCGACGTCCCAGCCGTAAAACTCGCGCCGGGTACGCGCCCGGGGGACCTCGGCCGAGGGCGGGTTCACGGCGTGCCCGCAGCAGTCCCCGCGCGTCCAAAGTACCGGGTCGGGCACGAGAGTCTTTGGCAAGGCTCTTTCGAGCGCCCGGGCCGCCGCCGGCGAGTGCGCGTCTCCCTGCACTGTTCTGCCCGCCTCTTGAGCCCTTACAATTGAAGTCCAAGGACACATGGACGTACCCATTTTGACCCGTGGAATATGTACTCCCTCTCCCCTCATTTTTTTTAACCACGGAATAAAACAGCTGATATTCAAAACGGACCGTTTTTCCGCCCGTTTTTGTTTTTCTGGAGAACTTTGCATGTAGTAAGCTTGAGTCACTTTGCGAGGGGAATTGTGGAGAAAGGCAAGCGGCAGGAATGGGGTCTCTTGTCCACGACGGGACAGATCTTTTGTATCAGATGGCAAATGAAGATCGGAATATGTCTAATCCGAGAGTTTCCAGGACATACAAGTAGTGTCTTGCAGGATCATAGCAACGTTAAAGCTGATCGTTGGAAAAGTTGGAAAAGTTAAATGCGAGATACCCCCATACTCCTGCGGAAAGAAAGCACTGTGGGAATGGGGTTAAGGCTTTAATGTTGCGATATAAAAGCCAGACGAAATAGTCTTTGGTCACTTTTAAATAGTTTACCTACTACTGACAGGAAGTAGCTTGCACTGCGGAGCTGGTCAATGTGCCTGGTGCTTCATTCATGGAATAGTCTGAGAAGCTCAGGAGCCTGGCAGCTTCCCCAGCCCCGGGGTTAAACTCCTCTAGCTCCGCGGCGTCCGGAGCCCGAGCGCCCTGTCGGTTCCAGGTTGCCACCTCCGGCGGCGGCGGCTGGAGCCCCGGCCGCTGGTATTGGAGGCCCCCCCGCCTCAGGCGCTACGGGCCAGACCCTGAGCACCCTGGGCAGCCTAGCTTTGCATAAGCTCCTAAGGATTTGTCAGCCAGATGTGACAAGAGTGTCGAGAGGTGAGTGCAGGAGGAGATCTGATATTAATCAGTGCATAGCTCGGAGCCAAACTTTCTCAAATGCGGTGTAGGAACATGTTCTTCTCATTTAAGGCATCTCTTCGTGGCTGTGGGGCTGCCACCGGTCTAAGTTTGACAGTTAAATGGAATGCCAGCTAGAAGCCTTAATTGTGTGAGTAAAATTGTCTGTGTGTGCGTGTAGGGGGTATCACACACACAGGGGTTCGAAAAGTCCCCTCGTTTTATGGCTGTGCTCACCGCAGCCCTGTGAAGACAGGGCATTTAAATGGGGCCAGACGCCTGGTCTGAGCCAGGCCTCTGCTGTTAACACTTAAGGGGCCTAAAAGAGGCCTCACTGGTGTCCTGGGAATCCCTGTCAGAGGGTGGTGTGTATGTGTGTGAAAATATGTACTGCAACTTGGAGACAATAGAACACATCTAGCAAAAAAAACATAAATAAATTAACGTAATTCTCCCATCTAAGCAACAAGATTTGGACTAAAAAAGTCAATTAGAAAACAGCATTTAGCCGATTATCACTGTATTTAGTAGTAACTTTTCATTCTTTGTTTATTATTTTAATTTGCTTTTAGATTTTATGTGATATTTCCTAAAATTTCTTAGACCTTTTATTTGCAAGTTTATACTCTGTGAAAACTTTGGTTCACTGATACATATACTGACTCTTGAATTGCCTTTTCCCAATTTTATTGATATACAATATGAAAACCTCATTAAAATTATATGTTAAAATATTTTTTATTTACATCCTATAAATGAACGTTACTTCAAACATTACATAGTGTCCCTGGATTTGATTTTTGTCCTAAGTAGGTGTGACAAGATGCCCACCACTTTTGCTATAATGAAATTTTGATAAACTTAATCGTTTTGGAAGGCTTTCAGATAATCAGAAAGAATGAGATTATGGGACCTCATTTGATGTCATGCCTAATAAATTTGCTAACTACAGTTTCACCAAGAAAGTAGTAGTAGTATTTCATTTCAACTTCTGAGCATGTTCCTGTTAAATGCTGAGAAGAGGTGGTGAAATCGTTGTCACTTAGCACCTGGTACGCCTCATACTTGGGGAACTCATAATTATGTTCAGACATCTGCATAATTTAATTCAGGATATCATCAGTACCATGAAGTCCTTCAGCCTATTAATGATTTAGTGACATACCCCTTCAGTCAGAGAGAAAGTAGTTTAAGTGGTTATTTGGACATTGATATCCGTTAGGTTGTAATTCACATTAGAAGTATTAACCAACATAGAATAGTGCCTCAAAGTATATGGTTTATATACCAGGCATATATATATATATATGTTTTCCTGCAGCAGTTAGATCTGCATCGAAGGTCCATGCCCACATTCTGTACCTCAAGATTTGGATTATCAGTTTGTAAAGGTCAGTTCAACCTGATTAGGTTACAAACATTTTTTTAAAGCCATATAAGTTTGCCAGTGGAACAAGTACTAATTGTCTCTTCATTACACTCTTGTCATTTATGAATGCATGGGAATAAATATAAACAGGGAAACATTTTTAAAAGTTTGTTAGTGTATGGAGGTGGGGAGGGTGGCAGACTGTCTTTTAGCTTTTATATATGACTTCAGAAGTTATTTTGACAGTGGCCGTTAAAAGAGTTGCCCTGAAGGTTCTACAAGGTAAATTACTTACAGGAGGAGCTGTGTTTCACCCTGAAGTGAATTTTCTCCTTTACAGATGTCATTTAGGGTAAGTTACTTTAGTCAGAAAGAGCCCTTTTTAAAAAGAACAAGAAACATCCTGCCTAAGGTGAAATCACATTGCTAAGCCACCCATCTTTGTGCTATCAGGAATTAGGGAACTGATCATTTTTTATACATAGAATTTCCTTATTTCTGAATACACTACTGTATATCTTTTATTATCTTTGGTATTTATTTAGAACTTATACTTTTGCTGACTTATAGGGAGATTTTAAACAAAGATAACTGAGTTTTTCAAAGAAGAAGTGTCTGGAAAGTTTTTTTGTGTGTGTGTATGTGTGGTTTTAATTGATTCCCACCTGAAAATCTTATTTCCTCTTATCTTGCTATCCTTTGAAGCCTTTTTTACTAATTCTGGAAATTCCAAGATTTGGGTGTGGCCCTGTTTCTCTGAATAAACACATGCTGATTTTAGGGTTCTAAACAGAGAGCAGACCTGCTTTTCAGGGTCGAATTTGAGAACTTTGAATTGGTACTGACAAACGGGCTGTCATTGTTCATGTCTACACATGGACTCATGGTGACAAACCAGCCTAACAAATCACAGGGACCCTGCCTAGTGTGTGTGTCTGTATGTGTGTAGAGAGAGAGAGAATTTCACTTGGCTAATATATGTAGTACTGGTGTGGCGCTGTGGGTTAATATGCTAGACTGCAAGGTCACTTTGAACTGCAAGGTTGGCGGTTCAAGCTTACCAGACACTCTTAGGAAACCCTTTATATAGGTCGGAACTGACTCAATGGCACTTTTTAACAACAACAATAATATGAGGCAAAAAGGTGAGATGGAGAAATGTAAAGGCTAGGTCCAAATAGTCCTGTGTGGTGGGAAATGGTTGGCTCAGATAAACTCCAATTCAAATTTTCTATCTTATTTTTACTTCATAAAGCTGTATTATTTTGTTCATCTTCTCTGACAAATTATTTATGTGATCTAGCCATACAAACAAACATCAAAATTATTTTCCTGCTTTATGTTACAGAGCCCTCTGGTTGTTTCGTTATTTGTTATGAAAGTAATATTTTTATTCCATAAGGGCTGACATTTCATGATTATCATGCTGAATTTTTAGAAATGAATATAATGGCATATTAACTAAGACTTTAATAATCATTTTTAAAACTTAATTTTGAAAATTTAGTTCTCAGGGAATCCCTGAGAGAAATTTTTACAAAATTTTACTTAGAAACATTCACAGTTTCATCATTATTTTGCATCAATATATAGCAGCAATAGTAAATTGCATCATACGTGTCATTGACCACTTTAGTTACAATTGTCTTAAAATGTTTGTCTTGTTTTGTTTCTCAAGACTGAGTCAACTATACTATTCAAAAGTTCCCTGCACATACAGTTAACAGTGAACGTAGGTCTCTTCCTTTCTTCTTATCAGAGATTTCTGAATATTGCCTCTACGGTTACCAAACTTAGGTTATAAAGAAAAAATTCATCAGTACCACTTCTATTTCTGTATTATTAGTTTTTAAAAGAGAAATGTTTGAGTTGGTTTATAAGGTAATCTTTGCATGTTTCTTTACTTTTTTTTATATATAAAACATTTTCAGAACTAATAGTTTAAGGGAAAAAGGCCCAGATGTTAAATTATTTTGGCACAGAATTTATACTTTGATTTATAGAGATCAAAAGAACGAGTATTTTCCCCAGCACCGTCTTTGAAGTAAACAGCAAGAAAACACTACAAGAGTGTCATGCATACTTTCTCCTAAAGGTAGACTCAGCCCAACATCTGCCACTTCTAGAAGGCCCTACTTCCCACCTGGAGTCCTGGTGTGGCATTATAGAATACGCACTGGACTGCAAGGTTGGTTTGAACTGCAAGGTCAGCAGTTCAAACTCACCAGCCGCTCCTCGGAAACCCTAAACAGTGTTTGTATGAGTCGGAACCAACTCAACCACTGCCTCCACCCCCCCTACCTGCCTTTTTTCTGCCAGACCCATCTCCTCACCCTCAGGCATCTTTGACCCCTTCTTTCCGCCCAGTATTTGCAGTAAGAAACCAGATATCATCAATTCTCCTTTTATGCCATTTATCAGGGTAAGTCAAAAAGTTTTGCTGCAAGGGTTCCATTTCATACATGCACAGGTTTATTCCAAATAAAACATGCTTAAATATGGCTCTGCAATCAGTAGATTGTCACAGACACATTCTCTCTGTAATACCAGCTTGGTTTCAAAAAGTTCGTAGAAAAATTCCATTATCTTGTAATTCTATTTTTCTACAACCTCTTGAAGCCCTCTCATCCGTTTGTCTTAGTCTCATTAAAGTGCCTTCCAAAAAGATCCAACCAAAACAGTGATTTCTGAGAGAATCTGCTGGGCCAATTAAATTCAAAGCAGAAAGGTCAGCTCATAAGGTTATGGCAACTTTTAGGGATCTTAGAGGAGTCGTCTTGATAGGATGACTTAAAGGACACATGGGGTCTTATTAGGAAGACATTAAGAAAATTAATAACTGAATTAGTGCAGAAAAGACCAGGAAAGTTGCACTGGAGAATTTTTTTTTTAACCCCCATGACAGTACTACCCCTGCTCATTCTTCCAGGGTAGCAAGTGTTGTCCTGCGGGAATTTCCGTGAGAAACCTTACCCTATCTACCCTACAGCCTTGATCTTGTCCCTTCGAGCTTCATTTTGTTCCCCAAACTCAGAGAATATTTCCAAGGAACACAACAACTTGAGTCACTCAGGATGCCAAAGCTGTTGTTTGGATGTGGCACAGATTGAACAGCACAGAGTGTTTCGACGGAGGGATTAGAGCGATGGAAGCACCCCCTTCAGAGTTGTGCAGTCCCTGATAGACGGGGTGTCGTGTAACAATAGCATCCCGTTTTGATAGCTTCACGTTTTGATATTTTAGTTCAGTAAAGTTTTCTATAATTTCATAGCAGTGCTTTGGATTTAACCTTCATATCTATTACAAACACTGGCTGAAGCTCCCCAAGTGGCCTCTTTCAACTACACTCATGGTAAGCAGTGTCACCCATTATTCAGAAATCTAATGTTTCCATGAACCTACTAAGGAGATTCCTGGCTGTGCATCTGAACAGTACCCACCTCCGCTTCCACCCATGTTACCTTCTCAGGTCAACTCTCACTGCCTGTCACCAAAACCTCTGCTCTGTGATCCAGCCTCCTGGGTCGGACACACATGGACCATTGCTGAACCTGCCTTGTGCCTAGAACTTGTGGATTTCCTGTACACACTTAAGGAAACTGCTTAGGCTTCCCCCGAGGGAAGTCTCTCTCCTCAGGCCTCTCTACATGGCACGGCTTTCTCCCCCAACGTATGTCATCTCACTCAAACTAAAAATTGGGGAGAGGGAGAATCTTGATTTTCCCCCCATTTTAGTTCTGGGAAATAT